ATTACTAACATGCTGTTGTCACTGTGTGTCAGCAATCTTTCGAAGACAACAATGATCAAACATAGAGAGTTGCTTAGCATCCTCGACTTGGAGAGCTCAGTTTTCGCAATGATGTAGAAAAACTCTTCTCACTGATGTGTTGTGGATCTGACGTTTTACATCCACACTAACATCATGAAAACACTGAAGATTGCCCATAAATCCTAAGAATATTGGATCACTTTTTGAATTTGCTTCAATTATTCATATGTATCCAGATGTATAATTAAATAAAGTAGTTCAGAGATTTTAATTACATCCGATCTCATTTCAATTTCCTTGTCTCTTAACATATACTGAAATGTTTGCGAAAGCTAAAATATTACTTAATTATTCTTGAATACATCTAAATGATACAATCATTTAATATTGTATAACAATGAGCAAACATTTGTCTAATTAGGCTGCATTATAAAAACTACTCTTCAGAAGGTGAAGAATCGTATGCTCATCAATATTCATGAAACCATAGACATAAGTTACATGCTGGATGGAACTCATCAGTAAGGTGTAACTGACACCAAGAAGAAAGTGGTATTTTCTTTAGGATTCCAACCACTCCCTCCCAATAAGATGAAGGATAATGTAGTCGATACCAAAAAGCTTTGTTAATTTAATGAAGTGAAAACCTCTGCGCCAAGAACATGGTACTGAAATATTTGGGAGTTTCATAATGTTAAATAGTTCAAAATATATTTGAATAAGTGTGAAGCATTTTCAGTAGTTGCTTCGATCTTCCAATGATGATTTAAATATGCTATTTCCACGAAGTAATTTTAACGAACAGCTTATATTTATTAATGAGTTCTATGAAAACAAAAATATTTGCGATGAGTTCAACAGTAAACTGTTTTATTGTTAATCATTTGGCAGCTATTCTAGAGGATAAGTTATACTGATGGATAACTGATAAATTTTATTTTACTTTATTTTATTTAAGCACATAAATATTGGTACAAAGAGGCACCAGATACTATATGCCCACAAAATCTCATTTGATTTGTGTAAGGGATATAATACTGCTTGGGTGCTCAAACCAAAGCAGGTAGTTTCCTTAGGGGGCCATACCCGGAACCTTCAACCTAAAGGTCTGATCCACAAAGCAGTGGAGCATCTTAAGGAGATGCACTCTCATGGTAGCCAGTGACCAACGATTGATTCATAGGCCATTTGTTCACTCAGGATACTGGAGCCAATGTATACTATTGATTTGGAGTGAGGGTTTAACAACTCCCCTAGGTGGACTCACTGTTTCCACCAACCCGGTCAAAGTATCGGACATTCTCTTTTCGTCCTCTCAATTTTGTAAACAAAAGTAATGCCGCGAGAAGGCAGTGAGTAAGACTTCCCTGACAGAGGCTATATACGCATGGCCATGTGAGAGTATTTCGAGAAGGAGAGAGGAATCTCCTCATTCTCGTTCGTACCAGGCCATTTGGGGGCGATAAATTTCATTCACATTCATCAACTTCGTTTTAAAACAGGACTGATCATTATTAAATCTTATAAAAAGAATATCAACTTGGAATATCAAATATGTGAATTTTCATTGCCGGGTTACGCTGATCTACCTCACACAAAATATCTTCTAGAATTATTGTCACAGACATGTTGTTTTATTTAAAAGAACGTAAATTCAAAATCTTAGGCAATTAAATGGCCTGAGCAAATCAGCCTTTCATCCTTGAATTCGTTATGCAAAACTAGTATATTCAATCCTTCATTCTTCACAATTTCAATTATTTTATAATTATTAATCAGATGTTGTTGTCATTAGCATGTCATTTATTCCTTTCGTATGCTCTTCATAGTTTCTCTCATTACGACTCAGATATTATTAATGCTTAGTATTCTTGAATTATTATTTTTCTGGTTAGCGTTTTTTTAGCGAGTTAGCTAACAGCAGCCGGACACGAGCAGAGAAAGTCAAAGCACAAGCAGACTACGCAGAAGCAAACAAGCAAGTGAAGAAAAGCATTAAAGCCGACAAGCAGAAATACATGGGAGAACTAGCAACGACGGCGGAAAAAGCTGCAAGAGAAGGGAATATGAAACAACTATATGGTACAACGAAGAAATTGGCAGGGAGATATAGCAAACCAGAGAGACCAGTCAAGGACAAAGAAGGAAAGACAATCACTGAGATTCAAGAACAGAAGAAAAGATGGGCAGAATACTTCGAGGAACTGCTGAATAGATTAGCCCCATTGAATCCACCGAACATCGAAGCAGCCCACACAGACCTTCCAATAGATGTCACTCCACCAACGATCGAAGAAGTCAAGATGGCCATCAGACAAATCAAAAGTGGGAAGGCGGCAGGACCTGACAATATACCAGCAGAAGCACTGAAGTCAGACATTGAAATAACTGCAAACATGCTTCACCTTCTATTCAAAAAGATTTGGGAAGAGGAACAAGTGCCAACGGACTGGAAAGAAGGATATCTCATCAAGATACCAAAGAAAGGAGATCTGAGCCAATGTGAGAACTACAGAGGTATCAGTTTGTTATCAGTACCAGGAAAAGTTTTCAACAGAGTGCTGCTGAATCGGATGAAAGACGCAGTAGACGCCGAACTAAGGGATCATCAGGCTGGATTCCGTAAGGATCGGTCGTGCACAGACCAGATTGCGACACTACGGATCATCGTTGAACAATCAGTTTAGTGGAACTCATCACTATACGTCAACTTTATTGACTACGAGAAGGCGTTTGACAGTGTGGACAGGAGAACATTATGGAAACTTCTTCGACGCTATGGAGTTCCTGAAAAGATTGTCAACATTATCCAAAACTCATACGATGGATTACAGTGCAAAGTGGTGCATAGAGGACAGCTGACAGATGCATTTCCAGTAAGGACCGGAGTTAGACAAAGCTGTCTACTCTCCCCATTTCTCTTCCTTCTAGTGATTGACTGGATTATGAAGAATTCGACATCTGAAGGGAAATACGGAATACAATGGACAGCTCAGAATCAATTAGATGATTTGGACTTCGCAGATGACCTAGCCCTCCTCTCTCATACACACGACCAAATGCAGATGAAGACAGCAAATGTAGCAGCAGCCTCCGCATCGATAGGTCTCCACATTCACAAAGGAAAAAGCAAGATTCTCAAATGCAACACGGAGAACACCAACCCAATCACACTTGATGGAGAAACTCTGGAAGAGGTGGAAACATTCAAGTACCTGGGGAGCATCATTGATAAACAAGGGGGATCGGATGCAGATGTAAAGGCGAGGATTGGCAAAGCAAGGGCAGCATTTCTACAATTGAAGAACATATGGAACTCAAAACAACTCTCAACCAATTTCAAGGTCAGAATCTTTAATACGAACGTCAAGACAGTCCTACTGTATGGAGCTGAAACGTGGAGAACTACTACGACCATCATCAGGAAGGTACAAGTATTTATAAACAGTTGTCTACGCAAAATACTCAACATCCACTGGCCGGATACTATCAGCAACAGCGTTTTATGGGAGAGGACAAACCAGCTTCCAGCTGAAGAGAAAATTAGGAAAAGCCGTTGGAAGTGGATCGGACATACATTGACGAAATTACCAATGTGCATCACGACTCAATCCCTAACTTGGAATCCGGAAGGGAAGCGGAAAAGAGGAAGGCAAAAGAACACAATACTCCGGGAAATAGAAGCCGATATGAAAAGGCTGAATAGCAACTGGAAAGAACTGGAAAGGAAGGCTCAGGACAGAGTTGGATGGAGAATGCTGGTGAGCGGCCTATGCTCCTCGACGAGGGGTAACAGGCGTAAGTAAGTAAGTAAGTTAGTATTCTTGAACAATAATTCACTCGAAAACTCCACAAATCATAACACAGTTAAATAGGAACGAAATTATATCCCAAATAACAAGGATAGATGGAAGTAGGAAACACAATAAAAGATACGTTAGTATATTTATAGTTTTTACATCAGAAAATTTTGCAATGTTCTCCAAGTATCCACTAGTGCTGATTGGATAAGAAATAGCCAATCAACGTACACCAATACAATCTTACACGGAACATGCGGCGTGAACATAATTTATGAACGGACCAATCAAACCTTAGATAATTAATCTTGAATGTTGGCGCGAAATTCACCCATACATTTGGCTAAACGACCTTTTTGGCACTTCAGTTGATATTAGATCGCGATGGAAACCCTAAATCTCATTCTTAACCTTAACCATGAACTGTCAATCATAATTCTAATTCCTCATCCTTATTAAGTCTTGGTTAGTAGGTGAACATTCTCAAGGTCACTTTAGAGCATCTCAAAGATCTCACCAAAGTGGGTTACTCTTTAATAGTTAAACTCTAAAAATCTCTTCTATTTGATTGTTTAAATAATTTGCAAAAATAGTGGCACATCCTTCACAACAGCATTCTAAATATTTTGTTTTAATTATTAGAAGGATTTACCATGACAACAATTTGTCTTTTCAAGTCTTTAATTGTTAAAATCATCTTTTCAGTCAATTGAAACTAGACCACCATGGGAAACCTAGGAGCAATGAACGGCCGTTACTATAATATCCACAAAACCACTTCTGATATTAATATTAATAGTTGAGATCATGAATCATTTGAAGCTAGACCACCATGGATAACCTGAAAGCCCTGAAAGACCTTTTCGTCCTAGCATAGAACGCTTCAGCAGCGTGCATCTACGGTTTCGCACGCCGAATTCGAACACAGAACCTTCGGTCTCATGCACGAACACTCAAACTCTAGGTCATTGAGCCCTTATACAACAGTGTTAATATCTAATTTCAACCAATCATAAATTAGTATTTATTTCCAATATGAGATGATACCCATTAATTCAATTATTGATTTATTTTATTTCATCCCAACTAATCAATAAATTAGGTGACATATGACACACCTATAATATAGTAACATTACAAAAAAATCATTAGTTTAAATTAGCCAATCAAAAAGCAAGTCTCAAGGTCAATGGATTATGACTACTATATATAGATAGTCCGTAAATGACAATATTATATATTAATCTGTTTTATAAGTTCATATTCCTTTCTTATCTAATGGTTACTAAGCGAAATAATCAAACGAATAAATCAGAATTAAATATTCAATTAATTAAACAAAGGAAACCAACAACATTACAAACTCTTATTGCTACAATTCTATTATGTAGTTTAACAATAATATTAATTCTTATTGGAATTAGTTTAAAATTAACATATGGACCATCATTATATTATAGAGATGAAAATTAGTAAGTTATTATTGATATATATGTATATATATGTGTTTGTATTATGTGAGACAACATTAATGTAAGATATAAGCTAGACCACCCTGGAAGCATTGGACAGCTGTTTTGTCCTAGTATGGGATTCCTCAGTAGTGCACATCCACGATTCCACATGTGGCATTCGGATTCAAGACTTTTGGACTTACGCTTAACGTCTAAACCACTGAATCGGTACCCAATAGTGTTAATGTCTAACCTTAATCAATCTATGATGTTACGTGACCGTACACCACTGTCTTCACTGAGTAACTGCCCCTCTAACAGACACAGTTTGATTTCATTGGTTATGTCTATTCACTAGAACCTTCATTCTGGTTGGCTTCAAGATGTGTTTCTTGGAGTTCTAGTGAGTAGATGTGTTTGTTAAGAAAAAACTATTCTATCGTAATTAATAATCATTTTATATTTCATAATTACTTTCAAAGTGCTTTCGGTACTATTTGAAATCAAACAAATGAGGAGTCCCACAATAAAACAAAACGGCCGTCCAGTGCTTCCACATTTTTCATGGTTGTCTAGCTTCAATTGACTCATGATTTCAACTATATATAAAAAACCATGAATATATTAAATTCACTTAGTATTGTTTGTTCGAATCTTCCCATCGATGTGTTAGGACTGCAAGGGTACTGAGTTTGAGTCCCAGAGTGAACATCAACTCTGAGATGCAGGTACATCCAGCTGACGAGTCCCAAATAGGAAGAAGTGTCGCGCGTCCTGGATTCCTGGATTTACTTCAAATTCATTCGCTGAGATATTACAAATACATATTCTTCCTATTCAGTGGAGTTTTTCTTAATTCATGTCGTTTAATGGTTATATTATAGCAATTCAGTAGTTCTTTGATGTTGTATTTTCAAAAATACTCTGTATTCATATTCATTTAGCATTGTCTGTTTGAATCTTCCCATCGATGTGTTTGGACTGAAACTGGTCAGTCTCTAATTGACATATGTGCATACTGTGCGTATAGCTTAGATATAGCCTTAATTCACAAGCATTGTAAGCAAAGATAGATAGTGGCTAGTAGTGGAATCCAAGACGCGCGTTTCGTTCTATTTGGGACTCGTCGGCTGGATGTACCTGCATCTCAGACTTGTTGATGTTCACTCTGGGACTCTGTATTCATGCTATTGATAAACTGGCGCTAAAAGTAACGATGTCTTACTTTCATAAACCTTTCAAGTCTCTGTATCGTTAAACCAGTTAGTTGGTATTTTAAGCTGGAGTCAATTTGTGATATCATGTAATCTTTGACTCATATCTGGAATCTTACTAACTTAGTACAATTTTCAATTCATTGAAACAATGTAATAAAATAAATTTGAAGCATTCACGCAGAAATAAAAAGATCATGTCTAGATCATTGTGTAGATATATAGATGGTAATTTTGAGACTTCAAATAAGTCTAATAATAATTTGGAACAGATTTGCACATCAATCAGGAAGGTTAAATTAATAGGTAATTAGATATGATCAGTCAGTTAGTCAGCTACAACGTAGGACCAGGCACATTTATGCATCGGTTGAAGTTGCCATACCTCATTAACACAACAAGATTAACACCAAATTCATAGAAGCAATTAATTTAGTGGTTGTAATATATAAAAGAAAGGTTGTATATAAGGATATAGTAGAGAAGGAAGACATATATGAAACAATTTTACTCTGAAGGTTTAAAGGAAGATAAAGAGTGTATACACCTACTCCATTGTGATCGATTCTGAGCCATGTCACACACAGTCTCCAACCATTGGTTACGATAGTCACGCAGATTCCAACCAGATAGACTGAGTATACCAACATGGCTCAGACTAGAAGTTAGTGACTTGAAGTACTGATGCCGCGTTTTGGATTGACCATCACTAACTCTCTTCTAACCATCCCCAATACTAGTCAGCATAGCACGTCGTGGGAATTGGTGTTCAGACCCACGCAAAACGTGACCCAACCATCTCAGTCGATGAAGATTTTCAACCTCATAAATTGATTTACCATCATTCCCTTATACCATGTGTCTTACCTCACTATTAATTACCTTGTGTTCCCAGCTGATACAGAGAATATTTCTAAGGTATCTGTTGTCAAATACTAGTAGCTTACGAGTAGCTTCTACATAATGGTCACGTTTCTCAGCCCCATAAAGTAGAACAGAGCAAACTGCTGCACAGTATACTCGTCCCTTAATTGATAGATGGATAATTCGTCTTCGCCATAGGTGACGAAAGTTGGCAAAAGTCAAACGAGCTTTTTGAATCCGTGCTGAGATTTCGTCAGACACATCACTCAATGTGATCCTATCGCTTTAAACTGTTTTGAAGTATATCATCTAAGACAGATCTACTTTGTAAAACATTCTAATTTCTTGTCATTATTGAACAAAACTTCAAAACTAATTTTATAAGCAAAGATGGATAATGGCTAGCATTGGAATGCAGGACGCGCGACACTTCGTCCTATTTGGAACTCATCAGCTGGATGTACCCACACCTCAGAGTTGATGTTCACTCTGGGACTCGAACCCAGTACCTTTCGCTTCAATCGCCATCACTTTTTCTACTCAGCTACTAAAACCTAATAACCAATTGCTTATGCTTATGGGATGAAGTTTAAATTCATTTAGTATTGTTTTATTTGAATCTTCTCATTGATATTTACGGCTGCAACTGGTTATATTTTTTTATATTTTACAAGTTACATGTACCTAACCGCTTACAATATCGAGGATACATTTACATCTATTATGAATGATTATTCTCTTATTCTTATTTTACTAAAACAAGTTTTCGTAAGTAAAAAAAGTGTTTTAAACGACATTTAATAGATGAGTAAAGAGTAAAGTATGACCTTGAAAGTTATAATATCTAACACAGTAACTAAAAACTTTTCAATCAATAAAACGAAGTAAATTTTGTCTTTCTTATTGTTTTTATTCTCTTAGCAACAATAAAATGAATATCAGTTTTTAATTATTTTCTTATGTAAACATGTTTAATGAAACATAATAACAATAATGTAAAAACGGTAATTATAATGTAGAGTAGAATTACAACTATAAGTGTACACATATTAATTATAGTATTTTAATTAAATAATTGAATTAATGAGTCGATTGAAGTTAGACCACCATCGAAAATCTGGAAGCACTACACATCCATTCGCATTCTAGAATAGGACTGTTCAGCAGTGGACATTCACGACCCTACTTGTGGGATTCGAACTCAGGACCTATCGGTCTTGCGCGTGGACACTTAACCTGTTGACTTCTGAGCCGATATCAAACGGTGTTAATGTCCAACTTCAACTAATCTACGAAATTGAGAGACACATTGATCATTGTCTTCAGTGAGTTACTATTTCACAACAAACCTAGCTGAACTCCACTGGTCACTGCTTCTGACTAGAGCTCCAGGAAATACCTCTTGAAGTTAAACACTGGTGAGTATATGTCGATTAATATGAGAAGGGGTTTTGTGGCTATTATAGTAATTTTAATAATTGAGATCGTTAGTCAATTGATGTAAGACCATGAAAAACTCTGAAGCACTGGACGGCTGTTTCGTCCTTCTGTGGGACCCCTAAGCAATGCCCATCAACAACCTCACCTCACGAGGTTAGAATCCAGGACCTTCAGTCTTACGCGCGAATGCATGACCTATAGATCATTGAGCCAGCATCCACCAGTATTAGTGTCTAACTTTAAGCAATCCATGAAATTGTACCACCATCTACCGTTGTCTTCAGTGAGTTACTATCTCAAAACTTTTATAAAATTTATCTTTAATGTTGCCAAATTATCAATTTTATATTTTATTTATTCATTTATCTTTTTTTTTCATTAGTTGGCTTGCAGTCATTGGTTTAACTTTAATAGCAATAGCATTACCCATTGGTATTACATCAATCTGTTTATTGAATACATTATTTCGTATAAAACAATATATTAAATATATTGAAGCACGTAAACAAATATTAGAAAGTCAAGTATGTTCTATGTATATGTACATATGTATATGTTTATTTTATCACTATGTAAAGTAAATATTAGTTTTTTAAATTATCAGAAGGGGTTTTTCATAGTTAAAAGAGAGACTGGTAGGTTCTGGGTTTGAATCTCACTTACGAGGTGAGGTCGTAGATGCACACTGTCACTGAAGAGTCCTACAATAAGACAAAACAGCCGCCCAGTGCTTTCAGGTTTTCCATAGTGGTCTAGCTAGCTTCAATTGACTCACGCTTTCAACTATAAATATTAGTAAATATGTACAAATTTATTGTAACTACATTTGTATTACCTTTTTTTTTTTGTTATTTCATACATTAAGTTTCTATGATTAAGTATATTTAAATATTGATTTATTGAACGTATTATTGTTCAAACAAAGTAAAAGATAAAAGAAAAAAAGGCTACCACTCAATGTACCCACATTTACAGGATTAGTGTAAATTCAATTGATGAATAAAATCTCTGATTGATAGAAATAATTCAATAATATATATAGAGAGTTATTAGAAGGGGGTTATTTAGAGATTTTAGTAATTTTGTATAGTTGAAATCATGAGTCAATTGAAGCTAGACCATCATGGAAAACCAGAAAGCATTGGACGGCCGTTCTGTTCTATTGTGGGACTCCTCAGTAATGCGTATCTACGGTCACGCCTCGCGAGATTCGAACCCAGGACATATCGGTTTCGCACGTGAGCACTTAACCGATAGACCACTGTTAATGACCAACTTCAACCAATTCACGAAATTGAGCTACCATTCACCAATGTTTTCAGTGAGTTGATATCTGCCAACAGACCTGGTTGAACTCCACCGGTTACTGCTTTTCACTAGAACTCAAGGAAATACCTCTTGAAGTTAGTCACTAGTAAGCATATAAGGAGTCCCACAATAGAATGAAATAGCCGTGCAGTGCGAGATTCGAACCCAGGATCTATCAGTCTCCCGTGCGAGCGTTTAACCACTAAACCACTGATCTGGCTTCAATTGACTCATGATTTTATCTATATAAAATATATAAAATTGTGAAATTTTATGTATAGAAAACTCTTCATTATTAGTAAGTTGAGATATTATAATGTTTATTGCTGTTATAACATGTTCCTTTTGGATGCCCTGTTAAATGTATAACATCATGATGCCGCTGATTAGAGAGCAGTGATTTATCGATCGGACCAATAACGCATAAATCCGTACGAACAGTCTACAGTACTTGTCGGTCTAACTTTCTACCTAGCCCAGCCAGTTAAGTCCAGAACATCAATAATAGCCTCTGCAATATGAATCATTATTCTTAAACATACTGGGTTTATATACCAAACAAACTAACCATATCGTACCATAAAATAGTAAATAACATTTGTACAAGATTTAGCCAAATGTGGCTGTGAATAGGGGGAAACAGTAATTAATGGACTAGGGATAACTCAAGAATGGTAAATCGTATAATAATAGTCTATTGGTCAAAATGAAGCTTATAATAAGGGGGACATGGATATGAATAGTTTAGTTATTTAACAATTATACAATAAAAAATATGAGCATAGTAATGGTCCACAAACGGATCCCAAAGTTACTATTCACTATCTTTATCAGGACATAACAATTTCAATTATACTTTCTTTTCAACTTTTTTTTGAAGAAATATACGAAAGCTAATACCTAGTCAACATCTTGGACGACATATCCTTATCTAAGTTAGAAAGACAAATGTATAGAATCTATTGCTTCCTACAAACTATTTGTTTTACCAATTAAAGCTTTTCATTATTCCTATTAGTAGTTTTATTTCTCATTCTTACTGAGAGAGAGAGTAAAGAAAGCTTGCTTGGTACAATCATAAAATGTACTAAGTTACTTTCAGATTATGATAACAATTGACTTTAAAAACCAAGTAGTGTATCCATAAACGTTTTTAATTTTAACAATTTCTAAATGAAGGAGATTTTGTGGAGATTTTAGTAATTTTACATAGTTGAGATCATTAGTCAATTGAAGCTAAACCACCATGAAAAACCTGAATGCACTGGACGGCCGTTCCATCCTATTGTGGGACTCCCCAGCAGTGTGCATCCATGATCCCGCCTCGCGAGATTCGAATCCAGGACTTACCAGTCTCACGCCAGAGCACTTAACCGACAGACCATTGCGTTCGAATCTTGAGAGGCGGGATTGTGGATACTCACTGCCACTGAGGAGTCCCACAATAGGACGAAACGGCAATCCAGTGCTTCCAGGCTTTCTAGGGTGGTCTAGCTTCAAATAACTCATGATCTCAACTATATAAAGTTGCTAAATGAACAATAAAAAAAACCTTAATTTTTTGTTTGTTTATTTTTTTTTGTTTTTTTTTGTTCCAGGTTACTGAAACTAAATCGGATAAAGTGATTTACTAGTAAAAACATTGATCTTTGAAAAAAAATAAATTATTCAATGGTGATGTACATTAAAATTAAATCATGATTGTGTATATAGATAATCAAAACTGAATTCATTGCATAGTTACATTATGAATTAGCTTTTATTACACATTTGACTTCTTGATACCTTTTTTCAAAGGAGTTATATTCTTTTCAGTTTTAGTTTCAGTTTGGAAAGGACAGGAGGCTTGATGACCTGTGTTAGTCCTGGCAATGATGGTCTCTCAGCTGAGTGGAGGTTTTTTTGGTAAAACTTTCATCATTCTTCTAGGTAATATCATTCAGGCGGGGAAGGGGGAAGAAAGTTTCAAACAGAAGTGATCTATTCGAAATTCTTCATAAATTACTGATTAGTAGTTTATTCTATCAATCATAATTTTGATTGGTTATTGTTTACTGTTGTATTTTTTTCACTGTTTGTATATTATTTCGATAATCTTCTTTTGTCCTTTGATCTTTGATGTGATAACTGTCGATTATTTGTTTTGAATGTTTGATAAACTGTGAAGACTCTTTCAGAATAATATACAGCATTAAAGATCAAGTATTACATGTTTTAAGTTAAGTATTGTTATTGAAGATACCACAGGTATTGTAGTTTGACAATACTTCACCAGTTACACCTTCTATAATTGAATCACGCCCACTCAGCGAAATCAAAAGTCAGAAGCGAGGAGGTTGGTAGATATATATTTGATAGATTATCAATATGTCGAGGAGTGACTGATCACATCTGGCTAATGATTGCAGAATATGTTGCGCATGCCCTTCCATAACGTGATCTGGTGTGGATGCATGACCGAGCGCTTTCAGCTAAATGAGTCCATTAAAACTAATTTGGTCAGCATCCAATGTCGAACACTTACATAGTAACTGAGTTTAGGGATTTATTTACAACTACATTATTAACTAAACTCTATGTTCAACAATATTACAGAACGTGATTATAGACATAATAAGTGCTACAAAATTTTCTCTATTTAACTCTATAAAGAAGCCAATATTTCAAGAAGGGGTATTCACTAGAACAAGATACTAATCAAACCATTAATCACTGATAACATCATTATTTCATTTAAACTTCCTCCTGTCAATGAACCATAATTTTTTCATAATTGAAATCATGAGTCAATTGAAGTTAGACCACCATGGAAAACCTGGAAGCATTGGACGGTCGTTTCGACCTATTGTGGGACTCCTCAGTGGCAGTGCGTATCCAGGACCTCGAACCCAGGACCTACCAGTCTCGTGCCCGAGCACTTAACCATCATTTCAAACACTACAATTAATGTGAATTCAATTTCGAACCAGCTTTGTAATGAAAATACTCAAGATGATGATAATTTTAGTAAAATATTCTTGTAAAGTCAACCATTTGAGTTCATTTAATTTTCATCGACTACATGCAACTTATTAATTGAAATAGATAGTGATATGCTTGATGCTATGACGAGTTGACCTTACTAGGTGAACGGAACGAAGGTCAAAGACACAGTAACACTATAGTCTATTCTAATCCGTTGTCCCCGACCCCGCTTACTAGAGTGAGAAGTCCATGTTGAAAGTGGTGAAGATATGTTCCGTAAGTAGCCTGAAGCACCAACAGTTGCAACAGGAAAAAATCAAACGTATATATACATTGTAAAATTGTCCATGGGAAGCGTTACAAAATAGCATACTAAAACATACAACAGACTAATAGCGTTTCAGATTTTCTCAAATGGGAAATATGACATGAAATTGAAAAGAGCGCTTTTGGCGCGAAAACAAAGATATCCAAATTTTCAAAGTAAAATTACAAAAATAAGTCATTTATCAAGCGAGTTCTGGGGATCTAATATCCTCAAGAGATAGATTGTGACTAACAGTAAAATCCGGTATGTGTGTGTTTTATTCTGTTCAGAATTTGTTAGCTGAATAGGGCTACATCACCAGTATTGACATTCACATTGAAACTAGAACTGAGTACCTTTTGTTCCAAATGTTCAATAAGATATTCATTAAGTTACTAAGTTTAAATACTCCCTGACTTATGTAAGAGGTGTGATATTCACATTATTATTGATAAATTGAGTTTACGTTATTCCATTCCGGCTAGTACATTGTTTTCGAGGTGCCACTATTGCTTGTATGTTAAGTAGTATCTTATTCATTTTTTCATTTATTTAATCTAGTCAGAATTCGTCCAGTCTAATTTACATGGGTATTTTCCACCTTAATCAATCCTACCGTTCAGTGTTCTTTGTTAATTCTTCCATTTCAAATATGAATTTGTAACTTGATCTAATATAGATTTATGATTTCTTCATAAAGAACAGATTTTTAAATTGTACTAGTTATCGTGTAATATGGCTTTTATTGTGGCGTCAAATGTTTGTTATCTTTGTGTGACTATTTGTTGGAACGATCCTGAAAATTTCTTGCAATAGACATGACAAGCTCAGGAAATATTAAGAAGCATTTTATTCAATCAGCGTTTGATTAGAAGTTTTGTTAGAAACACATATAGAGGTTCTGATTGACTGATTACTACTCTGCTACTATGTTTAGTAGTATTCTAGAATTTTCAGGAAAACTCAAGAACTTTTAAAATACTATAAAAACCCTATATTTTTTGTACATAAACGAACCTTGGAGTAAAGTGTTTTCCCGCATATTTTGTGCCTTTTCTCTTGTGTTCAAGTTGTTGTGTAGTTCTAGCTTGAGGTTTACGAGACTAGTTTAGGATCCGAGTATAGCGTTCAAACAACAAGACTTATTATTATTGATTAAATTCATCAGTGCCTCTAGTATCGATAACCTTCTAACTTGCTTATGACACAGCGATTGATAGACACCAACACAAATCTTAACACTTTAAACCTTACCCAGCTCAGTATTCTATCAAAAGATGTAGTTAGCAAGCAGATTCTTTCATAAAGTAAATTTCTAATCATACACATGGCTACACCATGCACAAAAGAGAAACCATGTGAAACGTCAGTAATTGAACTAACATTAATTTGAGTAAATTTAAACACGTAACAATGGTTTATGAGCCAAACGAAACATGACGGTAAGAAGAATATAAAAGTGAGATAGTTCAACTGTCTAATGATCAAACAATAAGAATATAAACCAAAAATGTTCATAAGCATTCTACAATTTATGGCCTCCTGAACATTTATTATATTGTTAAATGTGGGTCGCTTATATGATATCGAAACGATATTTTTCCAGCTTTATTCAAATGACGTAACCCATATTAATTATAAGATGTAGACGCTGCCATGATTTATTTATTTTAGTAAGTACAGTATGTTTTCGTAATATTTGATTGTATTAATACGAATAAGACTAAATAATGGTTCAAGTTCTATTCTAATCGTATCCCAATAACTTTCAAATAATCTAGATTTTCAAAACTATCAGGTGCATAATAGAAAAGGTGTGTAGATGGCGTCGAGTCGCGATTGACTATGTTCATCACTTTGATAAGATTACGTGCCAGATATAGACTTGGGTCCCTCGATAGGTCATAAACCAGCAGACTGTAATTGATCCAGATAAGGTATATTTATTGGCGATCACGTGGTGTCGAACGAATACCGAGACCTGCGAAACAGTACAGGCAAAATAGCAGAGCGTAGGAGCGTTCGAACGAACAAGATAGACAACGGAACGAAGTGTTTTTGATACAGTTAAACAAAAAAAGCACAGTAAAACAATCACTGGTACAATTGGTTATAATAATAATAAATGTTTCCATTATACCAATCGTGTTCTCGTCATGAAAAGTAGGTTACTACAGGTGTTTCAATCTGATTGAACATGTTTTTATTTATTATTTAAATCATTCCATAGCATTGTCGAGAAAATATTCCATAAACACCATAAATTTCCGGCTCAGTGGTCTGTTGGCTAAGTACTGTGGCGCAAAACCGGTAGGTTCTTGGCTCGAATCTCGTGAGGCGACGTCGTGGATGCGCACTGCTGAGGGGTCTCACAATGGGACGAGACGGCCGTCCAGTGCTTCCAGGATTTCCCTGTTGGTCTAGCTTCAATTGACTCACTCTTTCAACTATGAAAAATATTCCAATTTGTCTAATTGAATTAAACTTTAACTGATTCCAAATTAGTCTTAAATTGTCAAACTGATTTATTTTAGTTGTATGCAAGAAAAAAATAGTCCAAATATATATATGACTTATTTACTAGATTAAATTACATGAAAACAATATACCAAATAAGTTTACTTTATACATAGTCTAGATGTATTGTGTACAGATCTCTTGTTTGTAACTAATACAAACCTATGGATATTCGAAAAATCTTTCATTTGTTGTAATTCTTCTTAATCAAGATAACGTTGTGAAGGTTTTTAAACTGGTCTGGTTTTCAACAGACCAGTTATTAAACTTTTGAGTTAGAACACATCATTATAACATGAGAAACGAGATTCGACCTGGTTCTCTATTAACACTTAAGATATTTGGTGATAAACCAGTAGTTTTAATCAGCTGATCCAAATGTGGTGTGGGTTGCTTATATCCACATAAGTAGTATATAATGATTTTCGGGCTTTGAATGTATTTCAGTCGAAGATCAATAACGAAAGAACGGAAACAAAATGCAATTGGTATGAAAATGCATGAACAATAATGAACGGAGAAGATGGATTGATATTTGCAGAAGGAACAGACGAGGTTGAGACAATGGATTGATAGTTTTCAAATTAATTGTTTACTGTGTGGTTGTCGGATTTTAGCGAGATAGTCTACATTTTCTTGTCCTCACTGATCTCCTTGTTCAATATACAAACACTAGACTCAGCACTAGATCACAGTACTTGAGCACATGAAACGCACGATTGAACTATCCAACAATCAATCAAGAACTAAATAAGTCCAGAAAAGAAGTCTATTAGCACAAATTACCTAGCAGTCAACATCGTGAAAGCAATTTTACTGGTAAAATTGTCTCCTCTAATTAATAAAGTTGGATCTGTTAGTTTTTGTTCGTTAGTTAATTACATCTTAATTTGACTGACATATCCTAAGGAAATTCTGGATGGATACAATTCTTATTTTAGCCATGCTTTATTTTGATTTGTGTATGGATGACCAAATGGGTCACTAACTGTGTTATTACCTGATAAAAAAATAAAAGATATAAGGGTTTTTCATAGTTGGAAGCGTGAGTCAATTGAAGCAAGACCACCAGGTAAAACCTGGAAGCACTCGGCCGCCGTTTCGTCCTATTGTGGGACCCATCAGCAGTATGCATTCATGACCTCGCCTCACGAGATTTGAACCCGGGACCAACCAGTCTCGTGCGAGAGCACTTAACCGATACACCACTTAGCTGGCATCTCAAGGTTCTTTTGTCTAGCTCCGACCAATCCACGAAGTTGAGCAACCAGTCACCAATTGTCTTCAGTGAGTTTCTATCTCACAACAGGTAGGTCCTGAATTCGTTCGTGGATGCGAACTTCTGAGGAGTTCCAATATGGGAAGAAAAGACCATCCAGTGCTTCCAGGCTTTCCCTGGTGGTCTAGCTTCA